GGAGGAGGCGGGAGGATGAGGAGGAAGAGGGAGGCAGGAGGAGGAGTAGGAGGAGGAGGAGGAGGCGGAGTAGAAGGATGTGAAGGATGAGGAATGTTTCATTACATGTTCGGAGGTTTCAGGGCGGTTCAGGTGATTTTGAAGGCTCTTGGGGTTCTAGGGGGGGTCGGGGCAGCTAGGTCTGCATACAAAGGGCCCTTATCTTGTTCTAGTGGAGAAGGCCGCCCGCACTTCTCGCGATGGTCTCCATGGCCTGAGCGCGCGTCTCTTTGCCCCCAGGGCCGCCTCTTTCCTTGCTTCTCCCCCCCCGTGCGCAACGAGCGCTTCCGTAGCCTGGCCTCCCGCTGCGACCGCGCCGTGCGGCGGCTAGTGCTGCGACCTAGAAGCTTCGGAGGAGAAGCGCCGCTTAGTAGCTCGAAGGTTCGAGCCGGCTCTTGACCTGGGCGCCCACTCCACGCGCAATCTTTTTTTTTGTTTTTTTTTTTCTCTCTCTTTCTCTCTCTCTCTCTCTCTCCCCTCTCCCCCTGTCCCTCTCTCTCTTTTTCTCTGCCTATGTCTGCGCCGTTGTATTGTGCTTGGTTGTGCTTTGCCATCCATGCTCTGCTGTGCCGTTCTACGCCACGCCATTCGATATCGTTCGTTGCTAGCATGTGCAAACCTAACGAACGCTGCGCTGCGCCATGCTGCGCCCTGCAGCGCTATGCAATGATATGCAGCTCTACTATACGTTGAATGCTAGGCAGTGCTATTTACGCGCTGCTAGGCTGTGCTAAGCTCTGCGTTGCATGCCTCCTCATTGCGCTGCACCTTACAGCACTGCATTGCACTTGCATGCCTTCAGCAGACGGTGCCTCCCTACGTGATTTGGGTCGCGCTGGGGCTCATGGGGCTCTGGGAGGAGGAGGAAGCGGAGGAGGATGGCAGCCTACCTTGGACCTTGGATTCCAATGCCACCAGCCTTGAGTCTTGAGGCGGGGGAGGGGTTGTAGGAGGGATGGCAATGATGATGATGATGATGATGATGATGATGATGATGATGATGATGATGATGATGATGATGATGTTGATGACGATGATGATGGTGGTGGTGGTGGTGGCGATGATGATGCTGCTGATGACGCTGATGATGATGATGCTGATGGTGATGCTGATGATGATGCTGATGATGATGGTGATGATGATGTTGATGACGATGATGGTGGTGGTGGTGATGATGATGATGCTGATGCTGATGATGATGATGCTGCTGCTGATGATGGTGATGATGATGCTGATTATGATGATGATGCTGATGATGATGCTGATGATGATGCTGATGATGATGCTGATGATGATGCTGATGATGACGATGAGGAGGAGGAGGAGGAGGAGGACGATGGTGATGACGCTGTTTCTGATTATGATGATGAGGAGGAGGCGGAGGCGGAGGAGGAGGAGGACGGGGAGGGAGACCGCGTGCGGAGCGCACCCGTGGAGCCGCGCGTCCCCAGAACCGCGGCGCGGCGCGTGGACCGTCTGGGCAGGGGGGGGCCACAGGCCTGGGCATCCTCCGATCCGTTTTTTTTTTTTTTTTTGTTTTTTTTTTTTTTTCGTTTTTTTTTTTTTTTTTTTTTGTTTTTTTTTTTTTTTCGTTTTTTTTGTTCGATCCGCGGCCCCCAGAGGTCCCCGCCCCTCGACGACACTTGGCGCGACTGTCGTCGTCGTCGTCGTCGTCGTCGTCGTCGTCGTTTTCAGAGCAATATCGTCGTCTCAGTCGTCGGCATCGTCGTCGTCGTTTTGAGATCAGTGCGTCTTGGGTCACGGGCGGGTGGGACACGTCCAACAGGCTTCAGGTTTGGGCTAGGTCCCCACGTCCATCCGTTTTTTTTTTGTCCGATCCTCGGACCACTTCGATCCGGTCGATCCGATGCGGCATCGCTCTCGGCCGGCCCGATGCGACTCGACTCCGATGTCCCGACGATGCGATGCGGCCCGGTGTGTGCACGTCGCTGTGCTGCTTCTTTCGGGGACGGAAAAGAGGGGGGTGATGACTAGGGGGGGTGGATATCATGGCGGGGGCCATGATATTTCCCCAGATTTCATGGCGCCTCTTCTTATTTTATTACGTCCCTGGCCCCCCCCCGCTGGGCCGCGCACATGCCGCCGGTCATCATGATTTGCACCCCCCCCTCTTGGACACCCCCCTCTTGGCCGCTCCCGATTCTTGGCGCAGCCGATCCGTCGTAGGCACCATGTCCATAGGATCACAAGCTGGACTCTGAATCCAGCGATCGCGGCTGAAAGCCACCTCCACAGGATCACGAAACGACGAAAGACAAACAGCTTTTGATCACACCCATCCGTGTTTCATGAATGAAGCCGCGTCGTCCGCCACGCGTCTCAGACGCTGTTAGCGCTGAGCTCCTCCCAGCGGTTGCGCGCGGTCTCTCAAGGGGGTGAGCGAGGACCAAGAACCGAGCTTCCAGGAGCAACGCCTGGACAGCGTTTCTGGACGGGGTGATGGGGACGCGGGAAAAGTGACAGGTGGAAGATGGATCTGGCCGCGAAGGACCTCAAACATGGTGAAGAGCCCGAGTAAGATTGTGTCCGACCGTGAAGAACACCAAACACAACAGACAACAACATACAGATCGACGGCACAATCATGGCCGACGACAAGAAAAGGCCGACGACACCAAAAGGAGGCCGACGGCAAATTCAAAAGACAAAACAAACTGCCGACGACAAACAAGAAGGAGGCGGACGACAAAATCCGCGGGCGGCGCTGAGCCGCGACAAAATCCGAAGAGTGGCGACGACAACATGCACTTGGAAGACGTGCAGCGAGACTTACGGAATCGCCGTTCGCATTTCAAATGTAAACTCATCGGGGATGCTGACCACGGGGCGCATTTGTCGCGCGGTTTGGTCGAGCGATGTGTCGTCGCGCGTTCCGCGCGCCCGGAAGGCTCGCGCCCGCGCCAGGCTTCCGCGCGCGCACTGACGCCTTCGCGTGCGCGCATGGCGCGCGTCGGGGCTGGCGCGCGCTGGAGATGCGCGCGCGCGAGCCAATGCCATTGCGCGCGCTTCCGCTGACTTGCGGACGTGCTGCTTTTGCAGCGTGGGCCCCTGGAGGCCTCGACCCCTTCCTTGGCGTCGCTTGGAGGTGTGCATTTTTTCCTGGCGGCGAACAGCATTTTGTGGATCATCTTGCGGAACAGACTGCGCACGACACCGAAGAAGCTGCACGGGGAAGATGGCGAGCTTTCCCTGGACCAGCTCTTCGTCCTGAGTAGTTCTTTGACGGTCCTGGGCCCCAGCACGGGCCTCCAGAGGACGAATCAGCCGGCAGGTAGCGGGGTTCAGCGCAGACTGGGGCTCAGCCAGAGCGCCGATTCCTGCAGCATCCTGCAGAATGGGATTTGGGCTGAGCTGGGTTTGGGAGCCGTTCGCGGCCCGGAGGCGGCCTTGCATAGTGGTTGAGCCGGGTCTGGGAACCCTCGGAGAACGGCAGCGCAGCTTCTCCGAGCTGCCCGAGCCGTGCCAGCGCTGAGCTGGGCAAGAGTCCACGCCCACGCGGAAAACGGCACGACGCTCTGCGCCGCGATCCCCGCGCGACGCGAAGGGGGGTCCGGGCCAGGGTCGCTCCCTGGGCCCGTCGCGCAGCTCTGGGGGCTGCGCTCCGGCGCGCCTCGAGCAGGCTCTTGCGGGGGGGGGAGGCCCCGTGGCGACGAGGGGCCTCCTGGCCCCGGAGGGCTTCCTGTGGGCCTCCCCGGCTCCGAGGAGGCTGCCCGGGCAGCGGCCGCCGCGGGGCACCGAAGGGGGGGGGCCCGGGGGCGGCCCCCGTCGAAGCGACCTCTTTGGGGGGGCGTGTGTCTCGCCAGCAGCGGTGCTCACCAGTCGTTTCAGAGAGGGTCGTTGTCGGCGGCGAGCGGGGGGGGGGAAAGCGAGAGGGAGGCGGCCTTCTCAGGAGGCGGCGGGACTTCTCAGAAGTGCCCTCGCGCCTTCTGAGGGGTTTTCTGTGTCTTCGGGGAAGGCTTAGGACACTTCTCAGAAGGCCGGGGGACGTCCGAGCCTTCTGAGAAGGCCCCCCTTCTCACTTCCTCCCCGCGCTCGCCGCCAACATTTTTTGGGATGGGCGTCTTTCACGCCAGCAGCGGTACCCATCAGTCGTTGAAAGAGGTCACGTGGATTCCCGGACTTCAATCTGCGTTGGGCGCCCTCGTGTCTCAATCGTCGAGCGGTCTTCCTATCAGGGGGCGGGCGACAATTCATGGTCCCGCTTCCGTGCCAGCCTGGCGCGCTCCGTCGCCATATGAGACGGCACTGGCCTCTTGCTTGGGGGGGGTACTTTCCCCGATCCTTGCACCTGGCAGCCGCGCCCTAGATCCAGGTTTCCCTGGTCCAAGTTAGCGTGGGCCCGATTCTTCAGAAGGCCTCCAGACTCATCCGAGAAGAAGCTCTCTGAGCCTTCCCCGGAGCCGCGGAGGGCTCCGAAAGCCGGAGGGGTTCTGAGAAGGCCCGCCGTCTTCTGAGAAGGCCTGCCTGAACTCGCTTCTCCCCTGGGCGCGCCGCCAATTCTTCATCCCGAACGGGGGCTATCTGCCCCCCCCCCCCACCGAGAGGCTGGCTCCCCAGGGTCCATTCAGATCCGATTGATCCGATTCGACATCGACTCCGGCCGGCCCGATGCGATTCGGTTTTCCGATGTTCCAACGGTCCGATGTGGCCTGATGCTTGCACGCCGATCCGACCCGATGTCGACTCTATGCCGATCCAATCCGATCCGACGCACACTTCGATTCGATCGAAACCGCTTCCTAAACCAGAAACATTTTTTGGGGTGCAAGCGCCACTGCTCGTGTTCCCAGCACCGTAAACACGCGGTGGACGGTGCATTCTGCGTTTCCGTGCCCTTTGCCGCTGTGTCCAAAGCTGCAGCCTCGGCGTGCCGATTCGGTGCCCACTGATTCCTGCCCCGCGAGCGCGAGCGAGCTGGCAGCGCCGCAGCCCGGCGCGAGGAGCAGGCCGGCGACCTGTTCTCCGTGAGGGGCGTGGCGCCGGACAACCAGCCATGCGTGCACTCCTTCGGGCTGAAGGAGGCGCCCGAAGGGCGCTCTACTCTAGGCCTCCCAGGTGGGGTCCGAGTAGATGGTCAGAAGTGGAAGGTGCCCACACCGCTACCCTTCGTCCGTTTTCCGTTTTCCCCTTCTTGGGCCTCCTTGGAGGCCTTCGTCGCCAACGCTGGATTCGCCTCGAATTTCTTGCCAGAACTTACCCTGGGAGAGGTCCGGGAAGCAGCGATATCGGTACCTTTAGATTTCCCCGTCCTTTCTAGGCCTCCCGTATGGGGTCCGAGTAGATGGGGTCGGAGGATTGCGCCGCATCGCCGCATCGCCGATTCATCGACGATGCGGCCCGAAGTGGAGCCCGATTTTCTTCACGTCGGCGTCGCCGATGCATCGCCGACGTCGACGCTGCATCGCCGATGTGTCGCCGATGTATCGCCGATGCGCCGCCGATGCGCCGCCGATGCATCGCTGAAGGAGTCGCCCGAAGGGCGCCCTGCTCGAAGGAGTTGCCATCTGTTCCTCCTCGGACGGGCGGCGGAGGGTGGTGGAAGTCAAATGAGACCGCCTCCGCCAGCGGAAGGTGGCGGACGGCCGGCGGAAGCCGACGATTGTTCAAATCGCCCTCCTCTGGCCCTCTACCTCGTAGTGCCTTGCATTTTTGAGGTTGCGCCGTGCATACGGTTGGTTTTGGGACGGGCCCGACGCTAGACATCCGATGGATTTTTCTAGGGCGTTGCGCTGGTAGAAGAAAAATCAAGTGGCCCCACCCCGAGAGATGGCACATTTTTTGGGGGTTCCGGGTTTCCGGAGCCCGCCATTTCTGCAGCAAGTCGTGGGAGGGAGCGCGTTGCATCGGCGGCGCGCCCAGGGCGAAGGCATGGGGGGGGGTGGGGAAGGCCTCCTCTCAGAAGGCGGCGGGGCTCCTCAGGAGCGCTCTCGCCTCCTGAGAGGTCGTCTCTGCCCGCGGAGGAGGCTCTGAGAAAAACACTTCTCTCGGGAGGCCGGACAAAAAAGTCCGAGCCTTCCGAGAAGGCACGCCCCGGTCTGCGTTCCCCCCCCTTGGCTCGCCGCCGACGCGGGCGCCTTGCGCGTCCTCGAGAAATGCAGTCTTTGGGGGAGATTCGCGTGCGCTGGCGACTGGCAGTCGATAAGGAAGCGTCGATTTAGCGTCGATTAGCGTCGATTGGCGTCGATGAGCGGCGTCTCGCGTCTATTAGTGTCGCGTCGCAGGAGCCGGCAAGATGGCATGGGAGGCTGCCATGAGATGCCACAGAAAGATGGCGCCAACACTGTCCCTACAGGCTCGGGAAGGTTTTCTCATAACGCAGCCGCACGCTCCCACGCCTATTCACAGCGTGTTGGAAGTGTCCACGCCCATTCCGCCCGCCATGTTGTAGCACAGTCGTGCTACATGTGTACCACACTGTGTCTTCATTGCGCCAGTGCCATTCTTTTTTTTGCACTTGCGAAGCCACGAACGTAGTGAACTATCCATTCAGTGTCGAAGAGAAACGTGTCACATCCCAGTGCAGCATGCCAGTTCGAATCACCAGCGCAAGCTGTGAGGACATCTCAAGAGGAACGGGGCCGAAGCAATGCCGAACCAGGGCCAAACCAGGGAAGCTGAGAGAACGTCTCAAGCGGGACCGGGCGCAAGCCAGGCCAAACCGTGTGAGGACGTCTCGGAAACAAGAATTTAAACGATTATTGCAAACTTGTGAGGATGTCTGCAGCGAAACTGGGCCCAGACCGAGCCAAACCAGGGCTGAAGCAGGCACATGTTGAAGACGTCTTAGGCGAAACTGGGCCCAAACCAAGCCAAGCCAGGGGCCAAACCAGGCATATGTTGAGGATGTCTCAGGCAGGGCGCGCGGCCAAGCCGGGCCAAACCAGGTCAAACCATGGTCCAAATCGACAGAGCCGAACAGGGCTCGGCATATTGGATCAGTGCGTAGCACGGCACATCAAGGCCCGGCAAACCTTAGCCGGGCTCATTATGCCTGAGCCGGGCTACGTATACCGTGGCAGAGCTTGTCAGGACCGAGCACGGCTCAGCACGGCTTTGCAAGGCCTGGCAGAGCTTCGCAGGGCTTAGGAAACTTAGAAGACCTTAACAGGGATTTGCAAGGCGTACCAGGGCACAGCAGGACATAAAATGACTGGGCAGACAGCCTAGCACTGCTTAGCAGTGTGTGCCAAGGCTCAGCACATCTCAGCAATGCCTGGCAGGACTTAGCATTGCTGACCAGGGATAAGCAGGGCTCATCAAAGCTGAACAGGGCCTATTGTGCCTTAGGGGTCGGGCGAAGAGAACTATGCACATGCATCGATTCTGGCCAGGCCCATCTTGGGCGCATGATGGGTGCATATGCCTTCCCAGCCAAGGCAGGAGGGCATATGCACCGATCCTGGGCTCAGGATGGGCCTGACCAGAATCGGTGTATGTGCATGGTTCTCTTTCCTCTAAGGGGTCTGGGCCACGCGTAGCGGGGCATATCACGGCGTAGCACGCCATGTCATGGCTTACTGGGGCCTAGACCGATCATGGCCTATCAGAACCCAGCAGGGCACATCAGGGCCGAATTGGGCTTCGCAGTGTCTAGCATGGCAAACTTTGGCTCAGTATAGGTCAGCATGGCTCTTCAGATCGAAGCAGGCACCCCACAGGGCTGAGCCAGGCTCAGCAGTCCTTCGCAGGCCTGACCTGGGCATAACAACATTGAGCGTTGTTTAGCATTGGTAAGGAATGCTTGGCGGAGCCCAGCAGGGCGTAGCGGAGCTTGGCCAAACTTAGCAGGGCTCAGCAGACCCTAGGAGGGCGTAGCGGGGCGTGGCAGGCCATGACTGGGCTAGGCGTAGCTTAGCATGGCATTTGCCAGGGTCAGGGCTTAACAGGGCCCAGCATGGCTCAGGAGGTGACCAGGGCTTCGCAGGGCCTAGCAAGGCTCATCAGGGCCTGCAGAAGCTTATCAGTGGCTAGTATGGCCAATCAGAGCTCAGAAGGGCTGAAAGGGGAATAGCAGGCGTCGCAAGGCTCCGCAAGGCTGGCATGGCACGTCTTAGCAGTGCGGTTTTTGCATGGCTTAGGATAGCTAGGTAGAGATTAACTGTGCAGATCATGATTTGTACGGCGCTACCAGGGCTCCCCAAGGTGACTTGGCAGCATGACTTAGCAAGGCTGCGCAGGGCTAGCAGGGGCTAGCAGGGCTCAATAGCAGGGCTTAGCAGGACTTCGCAGGGGGGCTAGCGAGACTCAGCAGGGCTAGGAGGAGGATGATGACGAAGAAGAAGACGAATCATCATACGATTCCACATGCTAGCAACACTAACATTACGCATATTAATGAAAAGGATAAGAAGATGAAGACGACTAACATTATGAGTACGAATGAACCTACTACTAATAGTACGACGAAGGCTGACCATACTAAGATGGCGAATCATACCACTACTGATAACACTACGAATATTCATACGAAGACTAAGCATGCGTAGCATAATCATAAGAGGGTGACGATGAGGTGGAGGAGGAGGAGGAGGAGGAGGAGGAGGAGGAGGAGGAAGGGGAGGATGAGGAGGAGGATGAGACTGAGGAGGAGATGGATACATAGGAGAAGGCGACCGAGGAGGAGGTTGAGGATTTCACCCCCACCCCCCCAAAGACGATGGACCCGAACACAAAGGGAACACCAACCTGGGCCATGCACAACCCGTTTTTTTGGTTGTGTGTGTGTGGAGAACAGGAGAAGAACCACATGTAGAGGAGGAGGAGGAGGAGGAGGAGGAGGAGGAGGAGGAGGAGGAGGAGGAGGAGGAGAGACAAGGAACAGAAAGGAGGAGGAGAAGGAGGAGAAGAAGGAGGAGGAGACGGAGGAGGAGGAGGACGAGGCGGAGGAGGAGGAGGAAACGATCGAAGAGAAATAGGTGTTGCCACCCTCCCAAAGCAAAACAATCGGTGTCCCCTCCCCCCACACTTTTTTTGTGGAGGGGGTGGGGTGGGGTGGTGGGGGGAGGTGGGGATTTTGGCGGGGAGCAACTATAGAGGCTGAGGAGGAGAAGGAGGGGGAACATGAGGAGGGGGAGGTGGAGGAGGAGGAGGAGGAGGAGGAGGAGGATGAGGACCAAGAGGAAGACGAAGAGGAGGCGGAGGAGGAGGAGGAGGAGGATAAGGAGGAGGGGGAAGAGGAAAAGGATGAGGAGGACGAAGAGGAGGTTGAGGAGGAGGAGGAGGAGGAGGAGGAGGAGGAGGAAGAGGAGGAGAGGGAGGAAGAAGAGGAACAGGAAGAGGAAGCGGAAGGAGAGGATGACGCCACAGAGCACGCAGAGCATTCTCAGACGCACGCGCCACTTCTCTCGCGCGCGCATTCGACCCCGAGGGACACCAGTCCCCCGTTCTCGAGGAGGAGTTGGAGGAGGGAGGGAGCGATATGCAGAGACGGTAAAGGAGGCGGCGAAGGAGGACGAATAGGAGGAACAACAGGAGGAGGCGTTATTGTGATGGCGATGGGGGTGATGGTGATTGTGAGGGTCATGGTGATGGTGGTGGTGGTGGTGGTGGTGATCACAGGTCCCTCGTTGTGGATAGTAACCAGGCCCTCCAGGGAGATCTGAAGCTCACCACGGAGTTCGACGACAGCGTTGGCTTCGCGGAGAACAAAGACAAACGACAGCTGTGGTCTACGGATTCTCTAGTACCTACCGCAGTGGAACACGTGGGCGTTTTGGCTGTACCGACGGGCGCGTCCATCGAGATTTTCACCAGGAAGCGAATATCTGGCTACATCCTACATGCAGCGCTGCCGTGCAAGCATTCGAGACTGTCGCCAACGTCATAATCGTCTGGAGCTCTTTCTTGGAGACGTCGATGACAGCACATGCCGAGGTACTGGGACTTCGTTTCATCAGATACTCGACAGAGCGGGGCTGCCTAGTGGAGGTGGCCCCACTGCCAGAACACAGAGTACGAGCTGCCGTGGAGCAGCTGGTGGATGATCTATGGCGTTTCTGGACTCGTGGCAACCCAACATATA